AACACCATCTTCAAAAACACCATCTTCAAAAACACCATCTTCAAAAACACCATCTTCAAAAACACCATCTTCACAAACGTCGCTGCGACCAGCGACGGCGGCGTCTTCTGGGAGGGCCTGGGGCCTGGAGGACGAGACTCCCGCCGATGTGACCATCACTGACTGGAGGGGCAACCCCTGGACCGGCGACAGCGCCACCCCCGCCGCACATCCCAACTCTCGCTTCTGCTCGCCCCAGCTGACTGACGGGACCACCGGACAAACCCGCCCGGCGCACCGACACGACCGATACGTTCAGTCGATGACCGAGCTCGCTACCCGGTGGACGTGTAGTTACATCGCAGTGTCAATATGCCTAAATGCGGTGTGTTCTTACTATGGAAAGATATTTTGAATCTTTTCGGCGATGTGAGCCATTGGGGCCCAATGAAGGACGATTATAGGAGGGCTTTCTGGAGCGACCTTCACTATAGAGACCGTTTACTGGTTGCTTCGTTTTGTTACCAAAATTGTTATGATTTGAACCTGCCAATACAGTTCTTCCGACGCCGCAATAAAGATGACCGTCGCATCCTTAAAATGTGTTACACATGGAAATCGGTTCTAAAAATACGCACACGATGAAGATATTTCGATTTGGTTTTATAACAATTTATGTGCGACGTTTGGTTCTCGAGAAACGAGCGTTTCAATGCACGAAACAAAGTGAGTTGAGCGGTGGCTGCAGTTGACAGGCATCACGAAAACGCTTCGTTCTCGAGAACCAAACGTCGCACAGAAATTTTTATAAAACTAAATGGAAATATTTTCAGCATATGAGCACTTTAGAAACCGATTTCGATGTTTAACCTTCACTTTCTATCGCAACGGGTCACAAACGGACGGACGGACGGAGGGCCGGCATTATTTTTACAGACCTTATGTTACCAAGGGGAGGCGACATTTTACCCAGTAGACTGTTGTAGATTTATGATTGTTCCGTGTTCGTGTTCCAACCAATACTTAGCAATCTGGTGTGATGTTCAGGAGCGAAGGAGCAGGACGACAACGTTGTTTGGCAGTGGTCTGGCTCGAAGTGAGCGAGTAGTTTTATTTATCAGCACAGTATCGAACAGGTGGCGCTACAGTCGCAGACAAGTGACGGTCAAAAGTAGTCGGTATGAGAATGTACAGCAGAGGGCGCATAATTTAAATAAAGATATATTGTAGTATTATAGGCACTAAACCAGTAGTTCAAGTACTGCTGTCATTCTCATGACTAGCCGCCTCGAGTCAGTCTAGCCTCGTACAAGTCCTTCGCAGTGTTGTCCTTAGTAACGCCTAACAGTCAAGCCACACGTTGGCTCAGTCTAGTCCCGGTCTCAAGCTGACTGCACGACTGTACCGATTTCTCCAATAAATCTCTTGGTTCTCAGCATTACATCGTTTACTTCTTTCAGTCCAGAACCTTGCAACTGGCGCAGTCGGTAGGACTGAAAGAAGTAGCGAAGTGTGTTGCCAGAGATTTTAATTAATTCTTTCTCTTCCCTACGTTCATCTTCGCCGTCCTGGTCCTCCCCGTGCCCCTGCCCCGCGCCTGTGCTGTGCCCCTACCTGTGCTGAGCCCGAGGTCCCAGCCCCTGTCCCGGCCCTGCTCCCGCTGACCAGCTCCTGAAGCCCTTGACCCCGGTGACCCCCTGACCTTGTGTCCATGAGTGAGTCCCTGTCCTCAGTCCTTGTCTGTCCACTGTTCGTTCTCGTGGACCCGTCGCCCGTCGCCCCCGACGCCGTCCTATACCACGCCATGGTGGGTATTCCCCCTGGTCGTGAGCCTGGACGCGGCGCAGGCGGCCCCGCCTTCGGAGACCCTATTGTTGAGCCGCGGCGAGTCAGGCGCGCTGAACGCCCCGACCCCCTCCTTGACAATGCGAACGCACACGTCGCGCTGTTGTCGAACGCAGCCTCTGCTGTTGGCTGTGTCCCCGCGCAGCCCGCGCTCGCGCCCGCCGACATGCACACGCACTGTAGAGTACCCCTACAAGTAATACCCCCACAGCTGTCTGTAGGCGTAGTTTTATCTACCTTACAGGAGAACAATACCTCTACAGATATGGTGGTGATCGTTCTATACAACATTGCAGTCAATTTCAGAGGTTGCATTTCAACTCAGTAGTTCTGCACTTGCAAGTCGATACCCCCTATGAACAAGCAGGCCCGCCCTTCCGCCAAACGCAGTTGCCAGCTCCACTTCGCTGCGCCGGCAACTCCGTTCGGCAGGGGCCGGGCCTGCTTGGCCTGCCGGCGGCGATGGTCGGGCCGGCGGCGATGGTCGGGCCGGCGGCGATGGTCGGGCCTGCGGCCCGACCATTTCAGTCCCGCGATTTACTGAAGATCATAACCAAATAAATAATGTGACCGGTAAATCACTTTGCATATTTTGGTAAACTAACTTCTGG